ATTAAAGCTATAATCCACTTCTTATCTTTTGTTTTTAAGTTCACTGTGGGAGCAAAATCATACTCCTAGTTAACTAGAGGAATAAGTTGAAAAAATAAGGAATCTTGAGGATTACCAATTTCCAAGGCAACTATGAAATAAAACAAATAAAAATGACTAAAAGCTGATTTTGGGTCCACCAAGATTATGATTTAGATCCAAACTTCCAGGTTATGATAAAAATAAAAACTATGAAAAAAATGGGTGGAGTTAGGCTAAGGGAGTTACCACTTATATTTTCCTCTACAATAGTAATAAGGGAGTTTTTTTCACTTATTTGTAAGATTCAAAAAAAATTTCAACCAAAATTTTTAAATTACTATTGAAAACAATAATTGGTTATCCAAATTGAAGGAAGAGTTGCTTAAAAAAAAAAAAAATCAATCCATGCGAAACGGATTGACTATGTCAAACTGAGTTAATTAGCCTTAAAATTAAGAAAACGAATAACAAAAATGATTTGTGCATAATGTGGAGTGGGGTGTATACATTGCTTGACACATGATGAATATATTAATAACTAAACACTTTCATTTTCTTATTTTTCAGGCTATAATCTCAATAACACAATAGATGTTTTGTGCATAATGTGGAGTGGGTTTGACAAGGTGCACATAGATGAAGAGTAATCGTTGGTGCATTGGCTAATTAATTGTTAACCAGAAGTTTTGAACTACATGAAGAGACCGTGGCTTTGAGGTTTTTTAACCTTGCAAAAAAAAAAAATAATAATAATCAGAAAACCTTGTAGTAGCATGGGGTCGATTAGTACTATCATCTTAACCGGTAAATGTGCCAATCAACTTGAACCGGTAAATGTAGTTTTCGACTTCAGAACAAAACAATAAATAAAAGAAATTATTTAATTTATATAAAAGGAATTAGAAATGTTAAAAAAAAAAAAGAATTATAAATACACATTCTAATGTTTATATGGAAGAAAATTATATAACTACTGTAGATTGTTTAAAAACTGTTGAATTACATACAGCATTGAAAAGATATTTTAGACTGAATTTTTCATTGATGTAGTTGAAAAGAAAAAGAAAAAAAACTCCCAAAAGCCAAAAAATAAACAAAGAAACAGTGTCAAACTCAGTGACCAGACGATGACGCCGAACCGACCCGACCTCCCAAACCCATCTTCTTTCCCAAAACCCCAAGCTGTTCCACTAACTCACTTCCGGTAAGAATCTCCGTGGCTCCATAAATAACGTTCTTAACGGTTAACTGTCTCTGAGTCAGCTCCTGCAAACTCCCATACTCAACATAGTTTCCTCCACCTATCATGAACACTATAGCTTCTCTAAACGGTCCTTTAACGTGGCTACCACCACCAGAGCTAGACTTTGGAGCTCTCGGGTCAAGCAAGAGGTAAGAATCGATCTCCGGGTTCGCTTTTCCTTCTGTTAAAGCTTCAACAGTTCGAGTCACTGCCAATTGTTGATCACTGGATAACAGATTCTTGACTCCTGCGGTGACCGCGCTTATAGATTGCCCGTAAAGCTTCTCGGCCCAGTCTACAATGTTGCTTCTGCTTGCTGAGTTTGCTGAAGCTGCAAGAGATACGTTTAATGATTTGATCTTCTTCACGTACTGAAACGCGCTTGTGTCAGCCTCGGCTTCATTCAATGCTGCTTCCACGGATTCGACTTCAGATTGGTTTATGGTTTCTGTGGAGATCAAGTACATGATTGCAAACCGGAGCTTGTCCATCTTTGTACCTTTGCCTTTCAGAGCAGCCATGAGTTCGGCTCTGTCCATTCCACCTCTCATCATCATGTCGCTCTCTTTCTTAGTGAAAGCGTCGATAGATCTCTCCTTGATCTGTCCTAAGAGCGCGGTTGCGATGTTGGTGTGTTTGTCAATCACTTGCTTTCTCTCGGTTAATTCCGGGAGCGAGTTCACAGCGTTCATGAGATGTTTGGTGTTTCCAATCAGGTCTGTCCCGTCAAACTCAGCGCCGCTTCCACCGCCAGTTCTCTTGTTAACCTCCTCGACATCTCTCTTGTACTTGTTCAACTGTGTTTCAATCTCCACAGCGACTTCTGGAAACTCTAGAGAACTGTTTGCAGACCAGAATGGGTCCGAACTGTCCAGCTCAAACGATTTCATTCCTCCTTTTTCTCCCTGAACGTTCAACCGGTTGAGCTTTAAGCCAAGAACATCATGAACAAGAGGCCTGTATCTGAAATCATGCTGAATCCCGACAGAGAGCTCAAAATTCCTATCGAAAATGCACAAGAGCGGACGCTGAAACGAGCTCATGAAACCGCCCCCTTCAGTAAACAGATTGTTCTTGGACAAAAGATGATCCCTCAGTTTCTGATCCAACAAAGAAGCCACCATCTCCGCAGGTCCACCACGAGGGCATCGGATAACAGGAACCACACCGAGCGTAGCCAAGACACAGAACAAACCACTAGCTACCTTTTCGATTATCGCTTCAATCTCTTTATCCCCAGCTGATGGATCATTCATTTGAACATAAGTAGATTGCTGAGCTAGAGAGAACAAGTTATCTTCCAAAGTCACAAACTCCAAATACTGATCATGCACTTTCGAGACTTTCTCAACGGAACTAGATTTAAGAGTCCCCGAAGCAAGTTCTTCGAGAAGCGGGCGAGGGATCGAAGACGAGAAATTCAGATGAAAAGTATCGTAGAGAGATCTAGAAGTATCAGCAATGATCATCTGGATGTTGGATTGAGTGGGTTGAACAAAGTACACAGCGGGAACATCGTGGACGGGTTTTCGATCTTTGTCTATGAGAAAGTAGAGTGTAACTCCATGTTTACGAAGATCCTTGACATGAATCAATGGAGATAGAATGTTCTGACAAAACCTGTCGTAGATCAAGATCTTATACACTTCCTCGTTTGCAGTTCCACTTTGATTCAAAGGTTGGTTCAGATTCAGCATCCGGATTATACATTCTGCAAACCACATAGAGATCAAAGATCCAACATTAACGGATACTCAAAATAAACCACAAATTCTCTTCATTTCCAGATTCCCCAACACATATCAATAGATCGAGCACAATCTAAGATCATTCACACACATAGAATTACAC